TTATGGCATCACATGCCAATATTAAATGCAAGATATGAGCCAGACAATATTGTGGTTCTTTGAGCCTAAAAGTTTAGATGTTTTCATCATATTCGCTGCACCGTCGTGCACAGTATGAAGCCTCATATCTCTACAACGCCTCTGAAAAAATTCTTGAACAATGTATTTGATAAAATTATGACTTTTCACCTGTATGACTTTCTAAAGGCAAACAAGCTAAGGTAAAATTTTTTTATGCCAGTTTTCATTAATAATGGAACACTTCAGACCCATATAATTAATTTTTTTGTACTTGTCAGTCCAACCATCAAATAAAATTGTTGCTGCATCAATATCTTTTAAACTTTCCAATACTGATCGCCTTAAAGATTTGTACATATCAGGTAATGCTACTTGACTCACAGCAGAACCTGTGGGAAGTTTTAACCCAATGTTTTTTTCAAAAAAATTTTTAAACCCTTCATTATCAACATGAGAAAATGGTAGTAGATCTGTAGAAAACCAAAGGACAAGATCACGACTTATATCATATTTTGATGAACTAGCTATAGAGCTACTGCACTATCTACGTAAAATTTGATCATTTTTCACTTCAATGGCAGGTTTGTCTGTTACTACTTTGTGAACAAGAAATATATGATTTTTCAAATTACTGCTTGATGTGGAAATCTTAACCTTGCGAATTTTCGATAAATGACCTGCACCTGAGGACTTGACTTTTTTTTTTCTATCAAAAAACATTCACTACAGTAATAATGTTCATCGTCGATAACTTTACAATTTTGTGTCAATATTTGACCATAGTATTTCCATACTAATGACGAATCTATGGTTGTTTTTTTAAATGAGCTGCACAGTTTGATGTTCAAGTATTTTAAAGAACTGTTATGTGAAGTTCGAGATTCTTCTTGATCCATTACTAAGTAATAGTAAAACTCTGCTTGTGTTTAATTCGGCTAATTTAAGTTAAAAAATGTTAGAGCGATTAAAAATCATTATAAGCCAAGAATATTTAAAATATGAAACAAGTGGCGGACGTTGATGTACTTATATCAAGGAGGAGTGTGTCGTTACTATTTCATCTTAGAGAAAATTTAAATAGCAAATCAAAAAGCCGCACACATTAAAAAAGACGCTCCAAATAACTTGCTGCTTTTAAGTTATACAAGAGAACTTTGGGTTATTAAACTCTTCTTTTTTTTTTTCCAGCCAACAATAGTGACTTTGAAATCGGCTGCAGCTAAGTATATATTGTTCGATTAGCGGCTTAGTAGTTGCTAATAACGCAAAAAGTAGGTACAAGTGGCGGCAGCTTCTCGCTAATAGCAGCGGCTTTAACCTTTAATCAGCGCTCAAAATAGTTTTTTAAAGCTTGCCAATCAAATTTCCCTAAAAATAACTGATCATTGATTGTTATTTCGAGCGCTGATATATATATATATATATATATATATATATATATATATATATATATATATATATAATATAAATATAAACTACACACACAAACATGTAAACTAAATTAATGTTGAATATCAACTGCTTTAAGAATAAAATTCAAAATTTAAAATTAATATCCTACCTACCACCTGCAACTAAGATCCTGCTGTCGTTTGTAACTGATAAACATTTAAATCCAAGTTTTGCTCCAACAGAAGAACGCAGTTGGTGCAAACACTTCATTGTTTCTGAATCCCAAATAAACAAACTGTCATCTTTAAAACATGTCACTATCTTGTTACTGTTAGAGAGGAAAAAAACCTTAAAAAAAATATAAATACAAAATAAATTAAATATAATTTTCAATGAATCAATTAACTTATAATTGAATGAAATGTTGCTTTTTTCAAACTTTTAAATCTTTTCTGCATTTATATTTTTATCATAAACAAATTGTTGAAAAATTTATGATACAATATTTTTTATTCTTTTTCAGATCTACACAATATTTACAAAAAATACCTGCTGTACGCCAACTTCTTGGGCGCCAATTAGTGTTCTGCTCTTTGTATATGTGTTTAAATCCCATAAAATAGTAGTATCAAAGGAGGATGATAACGCATATCTGCCACATCTACGGATTGAAATTGAATGAATAGTTGATGTGTGGCCTTTCATAATGCTTACCAAAGCTTTTGTTACTATAAATAAAAATTAGGTTAAATTAAGCATTTATTTTATAAAAATAATGTCATGGTAATAAATTATTTTTATTGTGATAAAAATAATTGCCATGACAATGGAAGTGCTGCTCCACCAACAAATGTAGTCAGAGCAAATAAATGCTTTCAAAACACATTAACTTAATTACAAATATTCATAACATTTTAAAAGCTAAATTTATACCTACATTGTAGCATCTGAGCTCATAATTAGACAAACCAATAAGTACTTCATTTATTCTAGAGGCATTCCAAACAATATTTGTGAGCGGTATTCCTGTTTTACATACTAACGTAAACCTAAGTAAAACTATATTTGCTTTAATTACCAAAAAAAT